TTCTTCTCACACATCAGCAGTGTGCCCTGGGTTGTGGTTCCACTTAATAAATCCACAGCAGGAGCTGGTGGGATTTATTGCTAAAATTGGATGTGAACAATCCAGGATAGTCCTGGCTCCTTGCAGTGATGGATGGAGTCTGGTTTTATTTTTATTTTATTTTTTTTTTTGCTTACTCCACTTTTTCTCTTCCTTTTTTTTTGCCTGTTTTAATTCAACCATCAGTGTGAAAAAGAGAGGAAAATTTTCTCACTAAGACAAGAAAATCATCTGGGAATCAAATGATTCAGGGAAAAAGACTTTTTAAGTGTGGGTTTTGTGGAAAGCAATAAGGGAAATAAAAACCAAAAAATAAAAGAGTTGTGGCAGTGTTGGTACTTTCTGGGCTGGAGGAACAGGTAAATAGATTCTCCTGATGGATGAGATAATTTTGACATCTTCAAATAGTGGCTGATGTGCTTTAAAAAGTATTAAAACCTCCACAATTCAAGAAAGGAAAGAGCAGCTCAGTGCTCTCCTCTACTCTAAAAATCATGAATAATCAGAAGGAAAAAAATACAAAAAACTCCAAATATTTCCAGGTTCCAAAAGATTCTTTATTAACACACACTGGCACGTGCAGGGATGAGCTGAGCTTGCAGCAAATGTTTCAAATCGAGTTTTTTGTGGTTTTTTTTTTTTTTTTTTCAGATTATAAATACCATTTTATCCCAAGGGGGGATAAAAAAACCCCAAAATTTTCCCAAAGTTTTTTTTCTTTACATATGTGTTTCACAAAAACACATCAGCTTTTCCATTAGTGAAACAATGTATTAATATTAAATATCCAACACTAATTAATCCTTATCAAATACAAAAAAAACCTACCCAAGTTTCTACAAATAAAAATATCAAAAAACCTTTACAAACCAAATATTTGTGGGTTTTTTTTGTTTTTTTTTTGCAGTTTGTAAAGCCCATTTTATCCCAAGTGGGATAAATACTCCAAATGTTTCAAACAAAATATTTGTGGTTTTTTGGTTTTTTTTTTTTTGCAGTTTGTAACCCCCATTTCATCCCAGGTAGGATAAATACTCCAAATATTTCAAAACAAGTTGTTTTGGGTTTTTTTTTTGTTTTTTGTTTCTTTTTGTAGTTTGTAAATACCATTTTATCCCAGGTGGGAAAAATACTCCAAATGTTTCAAACCAAGTTGTTTTTTTTTTTTTTTTTTGCAGTTTTTAAAGCCCATTTTATCCCAGGTGAGATAAATACTCCAAATGTTTCAAACCAAGTTGTTTGTAGGGTTTTTCTTTTTGCAGTTTGTAAAGCCCATTTTATTGCAGGGGATAAATACTCCAAATATTTCAAACCAAGTTATTTAGTGGGTTTTTTGCAGTTTTTAAAGACCATTTTATCCAGGTAGGATAAATACTCCAAATGTTTCAAACCAAGTTATTTTCTTTTTTTTTTTTGCAGTTTGTAAAGACCATTTTACCCCAGGTGGGAAAAATACTCCAAATGTTTCAAACCAAGTTATTTTCTATTTTTTTTTTTTGCAGTTTGTGAAGACCATTTTATCCCAGGTGGGAAAAATATTTCAAATGTTTCAAACCAAGTTATTTTGTGAGGTTTTTTTACAGTTTGTAAAGCCCATTTTATCCCGGATGAGATAAAAATACTCCAAATATTTCCAACCAAGTTATTTAGTATATATATATATTTTTTTTTTTGCAGTTTGTAAAGACCATTTTATCTCAGGGACACCTGACCCCTCTTCCTCTGTACGTCAGCCCCGTGTTCTGGGCCTGGGATTATTCCCTGAGGATTTATCCCCTGCCAGACCTGCTGGTCACTGCTGACAAACACGACCCCTTCAGTGTCACCAACAGCGACTGCCTCTGCATCAACCCTGTAAGAGCCCCCACACTCCTGCCTTTAGATAGAGAAAAAAATCTATTATTAGATGAATATATATTTATATATTCATCCAATGATATCATTTATTCATCTACTTGTATCATTAGATTCAAATATATTAAGTCATACATGAAGTAGAAGTGTAAGTTGCAATCTTACATAAATAAAATACTTTAAAAAGTAAAAGTCTTAAATATCAATGTAAAGGAACAAGTTCTAATAACAGTTAAAAAATATAATCCTAAATACTAGGGTTAAAAAGTTTCTATGTAAGCTCCAAGAACGTTTTAAACATTATAAAACTATAATAAACATATTGCTTACATTTTTTTAAAATAGAACAGAATAGACCATATATATAATTTATATGTAAACTGATGTGCTAAAAACCTAAAATTCTAGTAAGTTAAAAAAAATTGGTTCAAGTTCGTGTTTTTAGCTTATTAATTAAGATTCTATACATTGAAAAGAAACTTTCTTACTCTCTCTTTCTTCTCTCCACCATCATGATCACCCCCCCAAAAAAAAAGCTCCAGCAACATCAGCCCTCCCAGAGCCTTGACAAAAACAACTTCTAATTAAAACTTTACTCCTATTTAAAACTCTGTACCAAAAACTTTTAACAAACGAATGTACCTTTACAATAAACAACTTTTATAACAAGAAAAACTGCTCAACTCTTAAAAAAAACAACCCAACACTATAGTACAGTGAATTTTACAGCACTTTTAGCCAACAAGGTAAAAGCAAGAAAATGGAGCTGTATCTTGCTTGTTACAAGGTTTTTTAAGGCCTAACCAACCAATTAAAAAACTAATATTTATATTATTTATACTTTTGACTCAGTGACCAAACACCTGTGAAAAAATCCTGTGGGATTTTTTATCCAATTTAAAAAGTATCACCTAAAACTGTGAAGAACAAGAAGAGTTAATGCCTAAGAACTTCCATCTTGTATTATACCTATGACTTTATTCTAAAACTTCAAATTTCAAACTTTTTACCATGTGATATTACACACTTTTATTCAAACTACACACCAGGGATTTTAACTCCATCACTCAAATTTGGAGCCTTCTCCAAGGCCCCAAATCAAAAGCAGTTTTCTTTGGAAGGTCAGTGCTAGAAAGCACAGAAAATTCAAAACTCCCAGGATTCAGGGTTCTCACATTTTCTCACTCCCTGCACTGTATTTTCCTCACACAAATGTGTTTTTTTTTTTCCCTTTTCCTTCACAGGGTTCATTTCCCAGAAGTGGATTTTCCTTCAAGGTGTACTACCCCTCCAACAAAACAGTTGAAGACAGGTAAATAAATTTTTCTTATGTGCTGAGTTGCTGATTATCAGGATAAAAATCACAGAAAATTGGTTATATTTGAATATTCCAGCAGCTTAACTTACACTTCACACTTAGGCAGTGTAACAAATCCAAATGCCCAGAACTAAAGTAATAAATTCAGAAATTACAAATATCAGTGATGGGAAGCACAATCCAAAAGTAAAAGTAGGGATGACTGCACTGCCTGATTTTCAGTGATAAAAGACCTAACTGGGAAAGCAGATTTGTTTCTGGGGAATGATGGTTGTTACATAAATTAATTAAATTTAGGAACAATTTTTGTGATAATCATCAAGCCCAGAAACCACTTTCAGGCTTTGATTTAATGTATTTTTAAATCTTCACTTGTTCATTCCACTGACTGAATAAAAGCCAGCTGCAACACCAAAAAAACATTAAAATGTATCAAAGGGTTTAAAATGGATGAGAATGTACCTGTTTAAAATAATGATGGTGTAACCCATTAGGAAAAGCAGAAATTGATCTTCTCCTTGTTGGAGAGGCCTTCCCAGGGAATTAATAATGGGTCAGCCCATTTAACTTCTACTTGGATATAAAAATATCACACCATGAGATCCTTTAGGTCTTTAGATAGTTGAAAACGTTATCAACTCTTTCCTAGATAAAGAAACAGAATAGCATTGTGAACTGTTTTTAAAATAAACCTTCTAAATATTGTTTTTCTTTGGTATTTTCAGCAAGCTTCAAGGACTCTGAATTTCTGAAGAAAGGCAGTGAACTCATGTGAAGCCAACCGTAGCTCTTATTTTTTACATGCCTCAGTTTCATGATGTATTATGGACTTTTTATAATAAATGTCAAAGTCAAAACCGATTTGTTTTGTACACAGATAAAATTTTACAGGAAAAGACACTGGTGTCACTTTGGATAAATTGTAAAGTCAGAGTGAAAAATCATTGGCAAAGCATGAGAAAAGTAAGTGGAGGAACCAGCTGTATCAAACAGGAAAGGAATTTAAAAAAAAAAATTAAAGATAAGGAGAACTTGGATATCTGAATATCTGCAAGGGAGTCTGGAAATGGGGGTAGGATTTTTCTTTATCTGGGAAATGCCCAGGAAAGCTCTGTGAGCTGTTTTATAATGGCAGCCCCAATTTGAAGGTGGTGTCACACAGGCAGGACAAGGAGCGGTCAAAGCGAGGACATTTAGAACTTTAGACTTTAGAACGTGTGGAGAAGGCCGGGAGGAGGAAATCTTGATGGAGGAAAAAATGGGAAAGAGCCAAACTAAGCCCAAACGTGCTCCGGGTGCTTTTGGGCATGGAGAGCAGAGTGGGGCTGCCCCAGGTGTGTGACAGAGGGGACCCTGGGGACAGGAGCTGCTCCCAGCCCCCTGTGCTGGCATGGCCCAGGACAGGAAGGAGGAGGGACAGCGGGACACGGCTCTGAGGGGACAGCGGGGCTGCGGTGGAAGCTGCGTCTGGTACGAGAGGTGTGAGGAGTTAACTCCGTGAGGGCATGGCAGTGGAGCTCAGAGCTGGAGGATAGGGAGGAACATAAACTTTGCAGAAAGATGAAAGGATAACGGTGGAAAACCAGCCCTGCTGATGGCAGGAAGCCGCTGAGGGGAGGGAAAAGGCGAGGCCGCGATGGAGAGGCCTCGGCCCTGAGGGATAGCCCGCCATGTTGTTTGGCGTCTCCATAGTAACCGCCGCGCCAGCGCCGCCATCTTGTTTACCGTCACCACAGCAACGGCCGCCATCTTGTTTGGCGTCCCCACAGCAGCGCTCCGGGCCGGGGCCATGGCGGGCTCGGGGCGGCTGCACGACCTGGACCTCAGCGCCGAGGAGGCGGAGCGGCTCCAGCGCGCCTTCCGCGACGAGCGGTTCCGCGAGCTCTTCGCAGAGTACGCGGCCGAGCTGACCGACCCCGAGCAGCGCCGGCTGTACGAGGAGGAGGTGGCGGCGCTGGAGCGGGAGCGCGGCGTGGAGGTGCGCTTCGTGCACCCGACACCGGGCTTCGTGCTGCGGACGAGCCAGGAGGGCTCCCGCCGCTGCTACATCAATGTCTGCAGCAACGCGCTGATGGGGGAGCCGCGGGCCCGCGCCGAGCGCGGCGGGCAGCGCTGGGAGCTGCCCTACAGCCTGGCCCCGGGCCGCGAGGAGCTGCGCCCCGCCGGCCGCCGCCGCCTCCTGTACGACGTGGTGTTCCACCCCGCCGCGCTGCGCCTGGCCGCCCGCAGCGCCCGCTTCCGCCGCCTGCTCTGCGACACGGCGCTGGAGGCCGTGGAGAACAACTGCGGGGTGCGGCTGGACCGCAGCAACGCCACCGTCCTGCGAGGAGTCTCCTACAAGGGCGTCCCGCAGGCGCCCGTCATCCGCTCCCCGCTACCCGGCGGCGCTCCAAAGCCGCCCGACGACGGCGAGTCCCCGCTGCCGCCCTTCCCCTTCCCGCCCGCCGCCGCCGCCTCCCCGAAGCCGCCGGCCGCCGGAGCCTCCTCGCCCGCCGCGCCCCCGCCGCCCTCCGGCCCCACCACGCCGCGCTGGAGCATCCGCCACCGCTCCTACGTGGACCTGCAGGACTACCGGCACTGCCGCGACTCGGCGCCCAGCCCGGTGCCGCGGGAGCTGGTGGTGACGGTGGAGCTGCCGCTGCTGCGCTCCGCCGAGCAGGCGGAGCTGGAGATCCGCGGGCGGGAGCTGCGGCTGGACTCGCAGCGTCCCGCCTACCGCCTGCGGCTCCGCCTTCCCTACGACGTGGACGAGAGCGGCGGGCGGGCGGCCTTCAACCGGGCCCAGCGGCAGCTGCAGGTCACGCTGCCCGTGGTGCTGCCGCGGGAACCGGCGGCCCCGGGCGGGGAGCGGCTGGAGGGGGCCGAGCCCGCTGCCGAGGGGCCGGCGGAGGCTGGGCCGGCAGAGGCGGGCGGCGGAGCGGCTCCTCCCCCGGAACTCGGCCCTGGCGGCGCGGCCCGGAGCACGTGTGATCCACTGGCCGAACCCCCCGGTGACCCACGGTGTGATCTTCCCGCTGGTCCATCTGCCGAGCCTCTCGCTGATCCGCCCGTAGAACCACTCTGTGATCCACCCGCTGATCCCCTCACTGAACCCTCGTGTGAACCCCCCGTTGACCCAACCTCTGAACCCTTTGCTGACTCCCCTGCTGAACCCCCCGCTGAAGCTGCCACTGGTCCAACCACTGATCCCCCCTCCGAACCCCTCACCGAACCCGCCGCTGATCCACCCGCAGAACCCCCCGAGCCCCCGGCCCCGCCACTGCCCTGCTCCGCTGCCGCTTCCCCCATCGCCATCCCCGAGCCAGCCATGCCCACCGGCGACACCTCTCCGCTGGCCTCCGAGGGCCACCCCAGCCACATGGCCACGTTGCCTCCCTTCCGTGCCCGGCAGGACGAGGCGTCCCTCACCCTGCTCTTGCCGGTGCCCGGCATCCATCCCCAGAGCTTCCATGGGGATGTGGGCACCCAGCACTACAGCCTCCGCTTCTGCACCGACACCGCCGCCTTCGCGCTGTTCCTGCGGCTCCCTGCGGCGGCCACGCTGCTGTCCCCCGAGAGCAGCATCAGCGTCTCTGCCCACAACGCCGTGGTGCGGCTCGCCAAGGCCCCCGGCAGCACCGGGCTCTGGGACAAGTTCAGCTTCGGCCCCGAGCCCTCGGCTCTGCAGGTAACAGCGGCACGTTCGGGGTGTCACCTGCCCGAGGTGGCACCGCTGCTGGGTGTGGCTGCTGCTGTTTGCTGAGCGGTGTCTCGGGGAGGTGTGAGAGGGAGTTGGAAGTTGCTGCTTCCTCCGAGAGCTGCTCCCGGATGTCAGTGCCGTGACCTGATTTGTGCGAGCAGCAGCAGCAGCAGGGTCACACCATGGAGCTGACACCTTCATCCTTGGAATTGGAATGACTGCTGCCTCTCACACAGATTTTTTTCTGAGGGAAGTTCTGGTGATGAATGGAAACGTTGCCTATGTCCTTTATGTCCTTAGTGTTGTTCACTTTTAAAGCCCTGTAAATTGCTCCTGCAGCCTGTTCACACAAAGAAAGCTCTTTATAATACACCAGACTTACACATGTGTGCATACACAGTCATGAAGTGTAGGGGAGAGTGTCCCTGTGCCTGTGTTTTGGGACAGAATTCCCATTTACAGCCACAGGAACACCCATTAGTTCAACCAGAGCAGATCAGCAAGCAGCAGCTGCGAACTGTCCCAGTTTGCTGGGATAAATCTTCACCTGCTCTGCCTGAATATGATTCTAGTTTAGTATTTTCTAATTTTATGGGTTGTTAGGCAGTGATGCTCCTGTGGTGGGAGAAAATGGGGTGGCTGCATCCAGTGTCCCCAAAGGGATGCCCACCTTGTGACACTATCCAGACCCACTCACACAAGTTTTATAGAGAACCACGTTCCCCTGTGAGCTCAGACTCTCAGACAGTTTCTCATGAGCAGGGATTAAAGCTGCTCAGTTCTTGTGTAACCTTCCAGCCATGGGATTTGGAGTTTGGCTGGAGTTGAGAGCAATAAAATCCTCTGCAGTTTGGATCACGTGCCCTGGGAGTGCAAGTCCAGGAAGCTGGCAGGCTTCAAGTGTATCCACTGGGATAGACTTGGCTTGGAGCAGCTTAATTGCTCCATCCCTACAACTAGGAATGGCTCGTGGATGATTTTGAAAGATATTTATCCAATTAGTGTTTGTGCAGCTGAAACCACGTTAAATTTCCCATTAGCAGCCACACACCTTTTACAACAGCAATTCCTGAGCAGGAGGAGCTGATCATTTCGGAGAAGTATCAAGGATGATGAATTTATGGAGAACCACCCACGCTGAGCTGTTTGCAGAGCATTTCCTTTGCTTTTACCAGAGCAGGAGCCTGCAAGTCTGTGCAAGTGGGGCCACAGAACACTCAGTGCTGCTGTTCACTGCTGTGATCTGGCACTGCCTGCTGCTGCCACGTCAAAAAAAGCCACTGTGTAAACTCCTGCCTGTTTTCTGTGCAGGTACAGAGGCTGCCCGGGACACTGGTGGAGTCCCCATCCTTGGAAATGCTCAAGAAAAAACCTTGGGAACGTGGTTTAGTGGTGAACATGGTGGTGGCTGCACTAATGGTTGGAAGTTTGGTATATGGATTTGTTACTGCAATTGGAGGAACGTTTTGTGATTGAAAGTTGTTAAAAGGCCACCCAGTAATGAGATTTTTTGGCTTTGTGAGTTATAAAAGCCCCCTCAATGTGGTGATTTTATAATATATTGCAAAATAGTTTGGGTGGAGTAGGAGAAAGAGGTTGGGCATTAGTCATCAGCTTCCCGGCCATTCATTCTCAGCAGACTCCAAGAGATTCTCCTGGCCTCCAGTCCTTTTGGATACTGGGCCTGAAAACTGAAGCAGGAGAAATAAACTGAAGTCATTTGTCCTGTTTGCTTTTTTTAAAAATCTGCTATTTCCCCAAAGTGCCTGAGAGCTGCACTCGCTCAGAGTGAAGGGAGAAAAATGAATATTTAATTAGAGCCACTATTACATGCTGCCTTCTGGCCATTAACCATTTGTTCCTGGTCGCTTTTCTTCTACTTATGTTGATTTCTTCAATTTATCTGATGCCACCTTGGGGGTTTTTCTGCCTTGAGTCTCATTCCATAAATCAGAGCTGTGGTTCTTGCACTGTAACGAGTCACATCAGTCATTGCAGAGTGCAGAGCAGTGCCCTGGTAATGCCTTCAGGGAGCTTTTGGGGCTGAGGAGAGCAGGAATTTTATCCTGGAGCAGGAATTTTATCCTGCACCTCCCAATCTGCTTGGTGGTCATCTCCTCTCTCACAGCAGCGTTGCCAGAGGATGGTGCCTTACAAAAATGAATCATGGAATAGGTTGGGTTGGAAAAGATCTTAAAACTCAACCAATTCCACCCCTGCCATGGGCAGGGACACCTTCTCCTATCCCAGGTTGCTCCAAGCCCTGGCCAATATTTTTAAGAGCCATGGAATTCCTGCTCTGCTCTGTTCTGGGAAGTTCCTCCATGCTGGAGGCTGAGGTTGCTGTGCTGTTCCATGGAGCCAATTCCTCACTGCCTCAGCTCAGAGTCTGCCCCTGCTTGGTGCCTCATGCCACGGTGGCTGCTCCGTGCCCTGTGAGGGAGGATGTCTGCCCAAATCATCCCCATTCACTGCCAATTCCTTCTTGGAAAGTTGTGCTGATCACATACTGGTAGAAGAATGAGTTGAGCTCATCCTTAGAACACCATGCTTGAAACAGAGCTTCGAGAGCTTTTCCTTTTGTAGTCAGCTGTGGTTGAATCCCTGTGCTGGAAGATGATCTATTTAGAGCTCAGTTTCCATAGATGCTGAGCAGTTGGAATTCCCACCCCAGCAAAAGCCTCTTTTCAGCAAATCTTTACAGTGCCCTGCTCCTCCCTGGACTTGAACTGTGAGGAGTTTCACTCCTTGGCCAAACCACAATATCCACACTGCGTTTGGACTTGCTGATCTTGGAGGTCTTTTGTCGATTCTATGATTTGTTATGGTGACCAGAAATCCTATAAGAATCAAGATTCCCTAACTTTGGACATTGTGGGCTTAGGGTCACATATTTCAGGGGTTTAAAAGCCACCTTTTGTCACTGCTCTGGTGCTGTCACCACAGTGCTGATCCTTCTCCAGGCCCTGTTTTTCCAGGGAATAATCTCATGAAATCTGAGGAAACTGCCTGATTTCCCCACAGCCAAAATCTCTGCTCTTTGCCTCGAAATACCAGCCACGGGCTGTGCTCTCTCCATTACTCTTCATTGCACTTCACCCTCTATAACCTTCTACACCTTTTGCTTAAATCCTGGGAATTTTAGGCCTGGGAAACTCCTGCATCAGAGAGTTCTCCTTCATTTCCAGACAACACAGCCTGGGGAGTAAATGATGAAGGAAGAACGGTTGGGAGTTAAGTAACCATTAATAAAATTTGTAAGCCTGCCAGGCAGGGTTTCTGAGAACATGTCCCAGTGTGTCCTGGTTTATGGTACTGCTGGAGCTGGGCAATTACAGAAATTGTGCCTTTGGAAAGCACTTGGAATGTCTTGGAATATTTGGCCTCCTGGGGTTAAATGCTCGATTCCTAACAGAAATAAAAATCAATTTTCTAGGGGTGTATTGAGCTGCTGAGACTTGAGGGCTCGGTTCTCAGAGCACGGTAAAAAACATTTGGCAGGTAATTAATTGTGCCAGCAGTTTTGGGGTTGTGTCTGCTCGTTTTCATGGGATTAGAAGAAGACTGGTTCATGCAGGAATTCCCTTTTAGGTTGATCCCCACCCTTCCTGCCCTTCTCAGAGGCCTGGAATGGGTTTGTTCAGAGGATGTGTGCTCAGCCCTCTGCTCAGTTCCCCCTGGTACCCCTTGCTGAGCAGGGAATTGCAGCCAGCCCATCCCTTTCCTCAAAGACCCCGTCAGATCTTATGGAGAATATCAGGATTTAAGTCACATAAACCCCCACGGGGCTCCAGAGAACAGCAGGGAGCAGAGGAAGTATTTCCTCTGCTTTCCTATGCATTGCTTTTTTTTTTTTAAACATTTACAGGCTGAAAAAGATTATACTGAACATTCCTGAGGAGTTCATGGCTGGAGCTGGGTTTGGGTTACACTGTGTGTGAGGGCTCCAAATGGGAATTGCTCAGAGATAGGGAAATTTTGTTTTACTTTTCTGGGAGTCTTGAGGCCTCCATGCAGGATGTTCTACATGGATGTGATTTTTCTGCTTGCCACAGTCACCAGTGCCTTGTGAAGGAGATCCTTTGGAAGCTGCTGGTGCTTTTTCCTTCAGAAAGCAGCTGGTAAAAAAAAAAAAAGATGTGGAGCTGTTGGAGCAAGTCCAGAGGGGCCACGGAGCTGCTCCAAGGGCTGCAGCCAGGATGGGAGAGCTGGGAATGTTCACCTGGAGAGGAGAAGGATCCAGGGAGAGCTCAGAGCCCCTGGCAGGGCCTGAAGGAGCTCCAGGAGAGCTGGAGAGGGACTGGGGACAAGGGATGGAGGGACAGGACACAGGGAATGGCTTCATCTGGGTTAGATGGGATATTGGGAAGGAATCTTGACTGTGAGAGTGGGGAGGCCCTGGCACAGGGTGGCTGCCCCTGGATCCCTGGAATGTCCAAGGCCAGGCTGGACACTGGGGCTTGGATCAACCTGGGCCAGTGGAAAGTGTCCCTGCCATGGGAGGGGTGGCACTGGATGGGATTTAAGGTCTCCTCCAGTCCAAACCATTCTGGGATTCTGGGATGATTAAGTGCCCCCTAGGAGAGGCTGGGATAAGGTGATGGGGGCTGATCCAGCCCGGCCTTGGACACTTCCAGGGATCCAGGGGCAGCCACAGCTTCTCTGGGCACCCTGTGCCAGGGCCTCCCCACCCTCAGAGCCAGGAATTCCTTCCCAATATCTCATCTGAATTTCCCTACATCACTTGTGTGGAGCTGGAGGTGACAGAGTTATGTTTGTCCTGGCACTGGGACCATGTGGAAAAGGCCAAGGGCTGGAAGTGCTCCCATGGCTGGAAATGTCCCCATGGGCTGGCAATGTCCCCATGGGCTGTGCTGAGCTGTCCTTGTGCTCCCTGAGCTCAGAATTAGGGCTCTTGTGGATAAATGTTTTCCTTGGTTGGAGAGTTCAACCAAGCATGAAACCCTGAGAGCCGTGTTGGGAAGTGTAAGACGTGGATGTTTCAAACCTTTGCCACCTTTCATGGAGAAATCCATCCTGGAGAGCTGGTCTGCCCTCATTTCCCAGCTATTTGGAGTTGTTACACAGTTTCTTTGAAAGTCAGGGTGATAATTTTCAGTTTCCAAGCTACTATAAAGAGTTTTTGTAATAGTCAGGGGTTACTTCTAAGAGCTGCTGCTGGAAACTGGGGCTGTTGAATGTAATCCTTACAACAGTTTATTTTTGGTTCAGTTAATTCTGTGCTCAGCATTTCAAAGCTCTTGGCAAGTTTTTTGGGAGGTCAGAGAAGGACAAAGAAGGAGAACACAACAAACTTATTATTTCACATTTTTCAAAGTAATCTCTTTCCCAAGCTACATTAAGGACCATAATTAGTTTGCTTCTGCTATAAAACAAACTAATTTCTGAATAGTCTTTAATTGGTAGCTGCATTTTGGGAATTACATGACTACACGAAACAGTTATGTCAGGAAATATTATTAACCTACTGATGAAGCTCATCAAAGCTTTTAATTTTTTTTTTTTTGAGCTGTTTCATCTTTGCAGTCATGAGCACCTTGGAAAAGTTTTCATTTTCACTGCAGGTACCAAAATTTTGAGCTTCAAATTCTCAAGTCTTGGAGCTGGTTTGTGCTCGGACCTCACAAATGCAGGGGTCAGGAAATCCAGGTCCTTTCCCATATTGGCATGAATTGGGTTTTGATGAGAGAGGTTGTGGCTGCTCCATCCCTGGAATTGTCCAAGGCCAGTTTGGATGGGGTTTGGAGCATCCTGGCATAGTGGAAGGGATTTCAATCCCCTCCCAACCCAAACCATTCTGAGATTCCCTGATCCTCTCATTACAGAAGCCACAAAAATAATTTAAGCCTGAAATCTGTCCTGCTTTTCAAACTTGCAGCCTGTGTGGGAGGTAACTCTGGATGGAAACTGTCTTCAATTTGGATAAATGAAGGCAGAACAAACCCGTGTGAGTGCTGAGGGCAGCCTGAGGGGCCCAGCTCTGCACTCTCAGTGCTGTGAGACACAAGGACGGGTTTGAATGATGAAGTGTTCCAGAAACCAAAGTCATCCCTGCTAACGTTTATGTTAATTTGGTCTCAGTTTAGTCACAGGGAAAAATGAATGTGTACCAAACAGCAGATGACAGTGTGTGCAGGGAAAAACAAATTAAATTCGAAGTTGCTAAGAGAGCATCATAAATACCAGAAAATAAACGGCTTAAACTGAAGAATTATTTTACAGGGTCATCGAAATCAGCTGCAGATGGTTGTCCTCTGTTTGCTCTGGCTTGGAAGGCAGAGCAGGCTTTAGAATAAATTCCTGGATCATTTTTTTCAGAGGTCTGTGCTCTGATAACATCTGCAGTAATAGAAATGCCTCGGTGTGTGCTCCCCGTGAATGCAAAGTCTGAGTTCCAGTGGCTGGTGGAACAGGATAATGATAATCACCTCAATGACAACAATCCCATCCCAGGTCCATGATTTATGGGTAGGGATGGGATCAAATGGTAAATACTTGTGGGAATTCGCTGTTGGGCTGGGATGAAACTTGGCAAAATTGGTTTGCAGTAATGAGTCAGAATTAAGGGAGCAACATCACGAGTTTACTTTTTATCCTCCTTTAAAGTACTGATTAATCATAGAATTATAGAATATTCTGAGCTGGGAGGGACCCACAGGGATCATCCAGAGCAGCCCCTGTCCCTGCACAGACCCCCCAACAATCCCACCCTGGGCATCCCTGGTGTCCAAACACTCCTGGAGCTCTGGCAGCCTCGGGAATGTCACCATTCCCTGGGAGCCTGGGCAGTGCCCAGCACCCTCTGGAAGAAGAGCTTTTTCCTAATAATAGACCTCCCATACAGTTTTTAAACAATACTTTGTGTGGACAAACCAAATTCTTTTGCTTTTAATCAGGAAGAAATTCTGCAGAAAGATTCAGTGTGTTTGTTGCCAAATTGCAAAATCCTGATTGCCCTGAGGAGGAGCGAGTGTCCTTCACACAGCCATGGGTGCCAAATGCAGATTCAGAGGAAAAAGAGATTATTTTCCTCATTTTATGGAGGAAAAGTAGGATGGCACTTGGAGCAACCTGGTCTAGTGGGAGGTAATTAAAAGTCCTGAAATATATCCCATGGCAGGGGGCTGGAATGGGATGAGCTGGAAGGTCCCTCCCAGCCCAAACCACGCTGATTCCCTGATTTTTCTTTTTCAGCTGGGTGAGGAGAGTTGTACTTTGCTCTCCTTGGAAGTGCAGGCAGGGCACCAAAATCCCAAATCCCCTCCAGGGTCTTTCTGTGCTCTGTGGGCCAAGAAATCCAGGGCAGAGCTGGGAATTCTTTCTGAAGGAGTTCAGGAGCTTGTGGGAGTTCTGGTGCTGCACAGATTTTGTGTCTGCAGCCCCTGCCTTGTTCTGTACTGTGACACCTTCCCCTGAACTCTGCAGAGTATTTCCACAGCCTGAAGCTCTGGCATTTCCCTCTCTGGCAGGCAGGAATGGATGCAGCACGAGGGAATTCGAATTTTAGGCTTTGCATGCAGAAATGCAAGAAGTAGGGACGTTCTGAGAGGGTTTTCAGTCAGGGCAGCTCTGCTGCACTTTAATCTCTCCCCAAACCATCCCAGCATCCAGTGCTGGCTCTTTGCCTGGATTGTAATCTGTCTGGATAGAAAATGAATCCAATCCTCTGCCTTGGAAAACCAACAGTACGTGTGTTATGACTTTCCATATTGTGATTTCGGATTTAACTAGTGGAAAAAATAGGACTCTGGTTTATTTTTCCAATCCTGGTTTGTTTTGGTTTTTTTTTGTTTTTTTTTTCAAGATGACAGTTAAATTTTGTACCTCAGACACAATGTGACATCTGGCTGTGCATAAGGCTCCATCCACAGGGGGCCAAAAATGTGCAGAATTGCCTTTTTGCTTCTCGGTCTGCAAGATGTCAGTGATAATTGAATTTAACTTTCATTGGATTGACAAGAGGGTTGAACTGGACCGAGAAATTTAAAAGTGTGACTTAATGTGGAAGGTTTGTAACTTGTCCCTGTTATTTCCAATTAAATAAGGGAGGTAATTCCCAGAACCTAAACTACTCCTCTAGGTCAGACCATTTTTATTGTGTCTGTCCTTACCCTCAGCCTACACAGATGATGTAGGAATAACACAAGGACAGGGAAAGCTCTGCAGTTCCTATGAAACAACCCCTCCAGGATATATTTTAAGACCTTTAATTACCTGCAACTGATTTAAATCTCTAAACCCGTAGCAACATGTTTCAGGTTGTTTTATGAGCAGCCTGCAAACACACCCCAGGCTGTGTCTCTGCCTGTGGATACCTCTCCTTTCTTTCTTTTTCTTTTTTTTTTTTTTTTTTTATTTTCCCACCTGGCTTGTCTGCACGGAGATCAGAGCAGCCTCAGTGGTTGGGTGTGAAATGGATCCAGCCCTGAGTGTTCCAGATCTGATCTTGGAGTGAAGCTCCTGCAGTGCCTCTCCCAGGAGGTGTTTGTGTTTTCCTCAACACAGACAGGAGACAAACCCACAACAGTCTAACACCTTCCTGGTGTCAAGGCAGGTGAGAATGGTAGAATGAAGTTGGTACAAATAATTGCTCAGAGAGAGTCTAAATCTCTGTATTAGTCACTCATCCAAAGAGAGAGAAATAATATTTCTTTTATATTTGATACGATGCAGATTTGTGCTTAATTAATTTCACCTCATTCTTTGAATGTCTGGCTTAGAATTTCTCTGTCAAGATATGAGTGTGCTGTGAAACTTGGGAATTGTTGTCCTGGCTTTCTTTGCAGTGAGTTTTTAGCCCCAATATCCCTGAAGTTTAGCACAAAAAAGACCATAACCTGCTGTTTTCTCTCTTTTTCTGTAGGAAAGATTGTTTGTCAGTGAGGAGAACGTTGATGGATTTCTAGGCACTGCTTCCTGCCCTTCCCCTTGCTCCCAATCAGCACTGGAAAGCCAGCCATTAATTGAAGTGCTGGATGTTACTGAGGACAGAATTCAAATCAGGGTGGAGGTAAGGATCCAGGAACAGCACAGGCTGATTTATGTTCTTCAGCAAGATCCTATCAAATCCCACCGAAACAGCTTTGTTCCTGTTTTGTCCTGAGGAAGCAGGGAAAACCCAGCACTGGGGTTGTTTGCAAGTGTAAATGTCACTTTTCAGAAGTGAAGCGTGTGTTTGTCCCATTTAATGTGACCAAAGGACTGAAACCTCCTCTGTTTCATTTGGAAGATGCAGAACTGGGATCCATTCATTTTTAAAAAGTGCTTTTTCCTTGCAGGAATAATTCACTCACTCAGCCTTGTACAGGTAGAGAAATCCTAGAGGATTTTATCTGGGAAGAATCCTGCCTCATCTTTATTCAGTCCATGTATTGGAATACTTGGTGGGTTCCTGTTGTGTAGATAATTAAACATGAGGCTATTAATCTTAAACACTGGTCTCAAATTCAATCCTTGTAGTTTCAGCCTCATTCAGGCTCTTCTTCCTCTGTCTAGAACAAGACAGAGGCTGTTTCTGGGATCTGCCACGGGATTAAACTGTCCTCCCTTGGCAAAATAGATGGACAGATGAAGAAATCAAAATGTTCTTTTTGTAAGGAGGAAAATGTGAGGTAAACCCCCCCACGTTCACTGAGATTTCTGGGAAGGCACTGCATTCAAAATTCAGATGAAACTTTTCTTAAAGGAAACAGAAAAAGCAGGAACAAGCAGGTCACTGCTGTGGCCATGAACTGGGGTTAATGTGTAGCTGGTTTATTGGGAGGCAAGTTCAGATGAAGCACATGACCTCTGGAACTGGGCTGGAGGCCAGAGGAGTTTCCCAAAGATAGTGGATCCAGCTTCACTTCCCCAGCTGCTGTGGGCTGGACATAAAAAACCCCATGAAATTCTAAGTGTTGGAGAGCAGATGAGGCTGTTTTGGGACCTAAGGGCAGCTGAGATACTTTAAATCATCACTCCTGCTCCTGTGTGGGGTCAGGAGTTGGAGCTGGTGGTTCCTGAGGGTCCCTTCCAGCTCAGGGTATTCCATGGTTGTGTTCATGTGGGAGAATTGTCCAGTTTGGAAAGGACTGACTGGTGTTTCTCAGGGTGAGCAGTGGTTTGGGGGTGTGAGAAGGAGACTCTGTCTCTGAATCCATGAATCCAGCTGCTCTTGGATAGATCCCCCCCTGATCCTGACCTTCCACTGACAGGGACCTATGAATTACCAGCAGATTTTTGCCAAAACTCCCAGTGATGGTGAAATTGGGGAAGTGCTGTTTGGACAGCACCTCTCCCAGTTCCTCCTTTCCTGAGGCAATTCCCAGATTAGCTCCTCAGACCAGTAATTTCCTTAATTGCAAGGTTCCAACCTTGCAACAAGAGTTGGGATTCCCTGGCTGATCCTGTGGCTGCTGGGATTTGGAGATTTGGGGATCAGGGCTGGGTGTGGTGAGTGGCGGCTGCTGCTGCTCTGCCCACTGCTGTTCCCTAGAGCAGAGGAAACCCTGGGGGAGCAGAACGATTTCCCTGCCACTCATTCCCACGTGCCAGACAGGAGCAGGAAATCCTCAGCACCCGCTCACTTGGCTTCTAGAAGGACAATTGTGGAATCACAACCTGAGCTGGAACCTCAAGGATCATCTGCTTCCAACCCCCTGCCGTGGGCAGAGCCACTTTCCACTATCCCAGTGGAGCTAAGCTGTTGGAGAAACAATCTCCAAATCTCTCCTGTCTTTGTGTGCACAGTTTGTTCCAGCTATAAAATAATTCATTTATTTCCTTGACAGCCACAGGAACGTGATGGAGAAGGAACACTTGGCAGCTCAGGAGGAGCCCTTGCTGGAAAGTCCGACAGCAACTACCCCGAAACAAAGGCAGAAACAAAGTGTCCTGCAGCTGAGGGAGGTGCTGCGGGATCCAGCCCTGCTCCCACAGCTGGAAGAATCGGAAAAGCAGGCTGTGGTTCACACCATTGTTTGCAGCATGAACCTCCTGCCACCAGTTCAGCGATTCCTGGCGGATCTGGGAGAAAGGAGCCCGATTTAGAAAGTGCTGCAGCAGCAGGAGACGCGGCGCCAGGCTCTGGAGGAGAAGGAGAAGCGGCAGGGGGTGAGGATGAGGAGGCAGCCCCGGGGCTGGGCAGCAGGGCAGGCTCCCCGGTGCTGCGGGAGGTGAACCCCGAGGACGGCAGCGTGCGGATCCTCCGCGATCACCGAACGCGCTGCCCCGTCCTGTTGCACAGCTCTCTGCTCTACGAGCTGGATTAGTTTCATTGTTTTACCATTTCCTTCTGTTGTTTGATGCTCGCTCTGGCTTCCATGTGCTGGTGGATGATGTGCTGGTTCCCCCTGAAAACGGTGCAGCACCAAAACTTTCCGTTGTTAACAGTTTAACACTTTCCTAATCGCATCTGTGGCAATAATTTTACTTAGAAGGAAAAGTTGAGGTTGGAGGTGACTCTGAGCTCCTGGAAAAAAAAAATGTATCTTTATTGTTTACATAAATTTTTTATTCACTTCCCACGTTTCAGGGATTATTTGTATATATCCTCAGTCTAATGGCTCCCTCAGGAATTGAGCAGTAGTCATCATTTTCCAAACCTTTCATTTTGTGATAACTGCAGGATTAGACTCGCAGTGATTCTTAGCAATCAAATGAAATTTCTAATTACCCAGAGAAGTTCTAATTAGTCTCCTAGAAATAATCAACATTTATTCCATCCTAGTATTCCATCCTAATGCTGTGCTTCAGATCTGCAGCACCCAGCTATCCCCCAGCTGAACAAATTCCATTGCACAAGAACATCCTCTGGGTGCATGTCTGCTCTGAAGTATTTACAGTTGGTGAAATGGATTCTCTTTATCCAGATTAGATTTATTTTTCTCAGTTTCCCTCGAGTTTCAGCGATTCTCACCTCCCTAAACCACAATAACCAAGCGAACACATCTAATAATAAACTTCCTGTTCCCTTTCTCACTGCAGCTGAACCAACTTCTGTTTTCGTTTGAGAGGTGCTTTTAGAGCAGAGTTAAATTTGCCTCGTTTGAGGGCTGCTCTGGCAGTGCTGTCACATTTCTCTGTGAAACACCAGTTTGGGTGTGTGGTTTCAGAGTCCAGCAGGAGTCACAGCTGCCCAAAACACCTGCCCTACCTTCCCCTCCCTGGTGGCACATCCTGCTGGAGCTTTGCTGGGCTCAGCTTTTTGGGAGAGTTCTCCGAGGGTGAGGCACCAGCACAGCTTCAGCACCAGCCTCAACCCAGTGGAACGGAACACAGAGCAATTATCCTGCAAAATTGTGGTTAAATAACCCCTGGAAAAAGAATAAAAACACCAGCATTTTCTTTCCCTGACATGTTTCTGTGTTCTACAAAAGCTGCTGAGGTGTTCTGCCACAGCTGAGTTCAAAGAGGAGTGGCATTAAAGCTGCTCTAGCATTCACAGATGGCTCCGTGGCCCCAGCTCAGCCCCTTCCCACCACACAGCAGCAGTTTTTACACAGCTAATTTGAAACAACTTCTTTATTTTTAAATCCAAACAAAAGAGGTGTTGTGCCACCAATTTGCTACTCTTTTCTGCCTCAATTAATGAGTATCATTAAAAATTTAATGAAGTTGAATGCACACTGCTAAAAGGGGTGATGGCACGTGTCCAGCCCTCGGGATTAAAGAAGAGAAACTCCCCCCTCCTTTCCACCCTGACTTTTTAGGAACATGAGATTACATCATCTTTTCTGCTGACAATCAAGAACTTCTCTAGGCTTACAAAACAACGGAATTTTTATTTCGGCAGAACTAAAAAAATCATATATTTATCTACATCGTAGTAAAAACAATGAAATTTATTTTGTTTTTTTTCATCCTTCATATATTCATCGACACAGCGCAACCGAACCGGGACTCGGGGATTGGGTGTGAGGTGGGACCCCAGGCACCACCAGAGCTTTGAAGCACCAAAAAAGATGCACTTAAAAGTGTCCTCCTCCTCCTCCTCCTCCTCCTCCTCCCAGCAAACACAGCAGCAGGTCACTTTTTGCGTAGGGGCTGCAGCACGTCACCCGTTTCCAAAAAGTGGTTGCCAAAACATGAGAGATTACTATTTTGGGACACCTTTAACAAGAATGTTTATTCATATTAAAGCAGAAACCAATTCATAAATGCTGTTTATACACGTGTGTGCCTGGAAAAGACACAATGGAACAAGTCAAGGAGAAAAGGCGAGGAGGATCCTCACTGGAGTCTGCGGTAGCTCTTACAGAGTTCGTGGTCCCTGATGTCTCCCCAGCCTCCGTTCTTGACGTGAGGGGACAGGGGAGCCATGGAGTACCTTTTACTGACACTCATCGCCTCGGGAAACAGGTACTGTTGGTTGCTGTTCAAGAGAGAATCGATTTTGGCACTCTGGGTGGACGGTCTGCAGGATTTCTTGTGGTGCATGCCACAGTCCCCCGTGTGAAAAATCCTGGGGATTTCGGGAACCAGCACTTTCCAGAACTTTGGAAGACAAGAGACAGTCAAGTGCTGCAGAGTCCAGTCCCAGTTGTAGTCATCGTAGGTGCAGAAGGCGTCCGTGCACTCGATGAGCTTCTGGTAGGTGTCTCTGCCGAAGGCCATGCCCATGTTGTGCTCCGTGGACTTCCACGTCTTCATCTCCACCTTGTCGGCGCGGCCGGCGAAGCCGCCCCGCACGGGGCTGTAGGTGCCCAGCGACACGAGCTGGCACTCGGGGCACTCCCGCTGGCGCAGCGCCCAGAGGTGCTTGAGGACGTGGTAGAAGTCTGGCGCCAGGTAATGATCCTCCTCCAGGAAGAGCACGGGCCCCGCGTGCTCCCGCAGCGCCCGCACGCGCTCCCACACGAAGTGCAGCTTCCACCACCAGTGGTGCTTGGTCTGCGCGAAGCGCGCCTCGCGGTAGTGCCCGAACGAGTCCGGGAACTCGGCGTTGATGCAGCCCAGGCGCAGCGCCGCCGCCTTGCCCACGTCGCGGGGGCAGTCGCGGGGGTCGTGGCCCGGGAACTCGCGCGGGTACAGCTGGATGCTGAACGGGAAGAACACCTGCAGCACCGGGCAGAAGTCCACGCGGGCCGCCAGCCGGTTCAGCTCCTCGGCCCACAGGTCGTGGCTCAGCACCAGCAGCACGTTCTCCACGCCCGCCGCCCGCCGCAGCGACTCGAGCAGCAGCCGCAGGTGCTCGGCGCGATCGTGCACCTGCACCACGAGCACCACGTCGGGCCGCGCCGGGAAGCGCCCGGCGTTCCGCACCGGCTGGTCGAAGTTCAGGCGGTACACGAGCGAGCGGTAACTCAGCGTCTGGTTCTCGGACAGCACCTCCGCCGCCGCCACGGCGGCCGACGCGTTAGCGGCGGGGCGGCGCGGTACCGGCGGTGGCGGCTCGCTGACCCGCGGCGGCTCCCCGGTGCTACCGGGACCGCCCCGCTGCTGCTGCTGCTGCTGCCGCCGCCGCCCGCCGCCGCCGGTGCCCCAGAGCGCCAGGGCGCAGAGCGCCAGCGCCAGCGCCAGCAGCAGCACCTTGCGCTTGTAGACGCGCAGCCGCATCGTCCCGGCGGCGGCGGCCCCGCTCCGCCGCTCCCGCCGCCGCCGCCGCCGCCGCCGCCGCTCCCGCTCCCAGCGCGCGCGCGCTGCCGCCGCCCCGCGCGCACACGTCGCCGCTCCCCATTGGTCGCCGTTGCTGCAGGCGCGGCCTCGCCATTGGTCAGCGGAGCCGTCAATCAACTCCGCGGCGCTTCCGCCGCGCCGGGGGCCGCGCAGCCGCGGCCGCCGCACCGCGCTCTGATTGGGCGGAGCCGAGAGGGGGCGGGGCCAAGGCGTGAGGGGAGGGCGGGAAGGGGCAGGGGAATCCTTCGGGATTGGGGAAAAAAATGGGAAAAGAACTCTGGAAATGCAGGGAAAACACACGGAAACCATCCGGAGTAACAGAAAATATAAGTGAATACTAGGTGTAAAAAATAGCATTTTAAAAGTCATTCTGCAATGACAAGAATAAGGTGAGAAATCATCCTAGAAATGCAGGATTAAGATAAAATCATTGTAGGACTCAAAGAGTAAGGTAAAATAATTCTAAGATTGAAAGAAAAAATTCTGAGATTGACAGAATAAAATAATAATAGATTTGAAAGATTAGGATTATAAACCCATTCTTGAATCGTAAGAATTTAAAAAAATCAAATTAATTAATTCCAGAATCGCAAGTATAAAATGACTTAAAAGTTTTCAACGTTAATATAAAATAATTCCAGAACTGCGAGAACAAGATAAGAAAACCGTCCCAGATTGGTAAGTATAATATATATAAAGATAAAATAATTCCAGAATTTTAAAGAGGAGGTAAGAAAACCATCCTGGGTTGGCAGAAAAAAAAAAAATCAAAACCAAACCAAAACACCAAACTATTCCGTGATTGCAAGAATGACAAAATAAAATCGTTCTAGAATGGCAGGGAATAAGAGAAAACTGTTCCAGAATGGTAAGAACAAGAGAAAGTATGTCTAGACTTGAAAGAGTAAGATGAAATCTAAAATGGTAACAATAAGAAGTTCTAAGATTGCAAGAATAATTTATTCTAGATTTGCAAGAATATATGAATAAAACAGTTCTAGAAAGGCAAGAATACAAGAAGAAAAAAAAATCTAGAAGTGCAAGAATGATACATTTAAAATCACTGGAATGGCAAGAATGTAAGAAAATAATTTGGGAATTGTGAGAGCAAGGTAAGAAAATAAAAAGGAAAAGCTCCAGAACTGCAAGAATAAGGTAAGAACATAATTCTAAAACTTAAAGGATAATAAGAAATCGAATAATTCTATGATTACAGGGATAACACCTCCTAAACCTAGAATTTCAGGAACATGAGGCATTCTGGAACGAGAAGAATAATCCATGCAATATTGTAAAATTAAGAGGATGTGATGAAATAAATTTATATTTACAAATAACGGCAAGAATTCCTCTGCTGATTTTCCTGCCGCACCTGGATAAAAACATCCCTGAATGCTTGGCTGAGGAGAGCCAGGACACAGGGAATGGCTTCACATGGACAGAGGGCAGGGATGGGTGGGAAATCCTGGGAATTCCTGGCAGGGAGGGTGGGAGGGGCTGGGCTGGAATTCCCAGATTTGCTGTGGCTGTTCCTGGATCCCTGGAATGTCCAAGGCCAGGCTGGAGCAGCTGGGACAGTGGGAGGTGTCCCTGCCATGGCACTGGAGGGGATTTGGGATCTTTTCCAACTCAAACAATGCTGGGATTCTGTGATGGCTGGGAAGCAAACAGGGCTCCAGCAGCCTCTCCCTGCCATTCCCGTGTGATGCCTGGAGTTTTAGTTTCTTATTTTCCACACTCTGCCCTGCATTAGGATGTCACTCTGAACTCCACACAAAGTGTTCCCAGCTCTCCTCCCAGCTCAGGCACACAGAACAATCCTTTGCCAGCCCCACAACCAAGGACACGCTGCAGCTCCAGCCCCAAAAAGTGCAAAGAGCAGCGAGTGGAGGAGAGAATGTGGGAGGATGGGAGTGCAGAGCCTGGAGCTGGGATTGGACAATGAAGCCAAGGTGGGAATGGACCCAAAGTGATCCAAGTGTGAGAACTCCTGAGCCAGGATCCATCTTGGATGTTGGCACAGCCAGGCTCTGGCACTGCCCAAGGTGAATCCTTGGAAGGGCTTTGAATAAATCCCAATGTATTCCTTTGAATAAATCCCAATTTATTCCTTTAACTCTGTCCAGCCTCTGTTCCAGGTCAGCCTCTCAAGGCATCAAGTGGATTGAGAGAAGCCAAGTCCCTTTGGGAATGACATTCCCACAGGGAGGCACAGTGGCTGCCCTGGCAGGGTCTGGGACACTGCACTGCATCTGAAATTCCTGGAGTCCCACAGGAGCCCAGGATTTTGTGCCTCCCCAATTCCCTTCTCTAATCATGTGCTCCACCCAAACCCTGTTTTTCCATGAGGAATCCCGGCAGTGGGAATCTCCCTTTAGGATCAGCTCGGGGTCAGCTCTGCTGACATGGGAAGGGTGTAATTCACAGGATCATGTTATCATTAAAATTGGGAAAAACTTCTAAAATTGAGTCCAACCATTCCCAGCACTGCCAAAGCCACCCCTGCCCCATGTCCCCAAGTGCCACATCCACAGGGATTTAAATCCCTGCAGAGATGGGGACTCCATGTCTTTCCATGAAGAAATTTTCCCAATATCCAAATGAAACCTCCCCCAGCTGGCACTCAGTGCTGCCCCCAAGCCATCACATGTCCCAGGAAATGGGATTCCTAAAAACTTCCCAAAGGACCTTTGCTCCTTGCTGTTCCCATCTCCCAGTCATGGAGCAGCAGACAAGACAGGAAATCAAAGAATTTGTGGATATGCTCAACATTTTGGTGTCTTCCCCAGAAAAATACCAGCACTTAATTCCTGGAATACACTGGATGGAAAACTACTCAGACAAAACACAATCCACACACCCACAGAAAGGTTTCAAAATTTAATAAGTGAACACAGTGAAACAAATTCAAGAATCATTAAAACAGGAGGATTAAGAAACGAAGTTTCAGGCACATATTTAGAAAAAAGACATTTCTGGTATCACAAAGAGAGAAACCCCCCCCCCCAAAAAAAACACCATTTGCTCTGGTAAAAACCCAGCAATGCTGGTCCCTGCTCCAAATGGGAATGTTATAACAGAACCTTTAAAAAAAAAAGCACCTGGAATTCTGTAATTGGTCTGGATGTGGTTTCTCCTCCATTGGAAGAGTGGAGTGCAGTCCTTGCCCGTGGGCAGAGCTCAGAGCCTCTCGTGGGTAACTTTGGGATAAACTCACTTTTGTCCTTCCAAGAAGGAACCACTGACCCCACAAAACACAGAAAACTCCCAAGCAAAGCCCCGGGAACAGCAAAAAAGAAATACATTCTAAGGAAGGTTCTCTCCAGCTAAACATTGCTCTGTGCTCCAACCAGAGGAGATTGCAGAGGAGCCAGGCCAGGCCAGGCCGTGTCCCCTCTCTCCCAGAGGGATTTGTCCCCGCAGGGAGCGCCGGTGACACCGCGGGTGGGCACGAGCAGGAGACCCCCCCAGGCTCCTCCATGCCCAGAATCGCAGCAGGCAGAGCTGGCTCTGGTGTCACCCATTGCTCTGGAGGTGCCTGTCCAGGAACTGGGAGTAGCAGTCCAGGGAGCAGAAGTAGCAGAGCACGGGAGCCTCCGTGCCCCCCATGTTGTCCACGAGCACCACGGTGTGGGCCACGTGGTGCAGGTTCATGGTCACCGTGATCTGGATGAAGCTGCTCAGGCAGGCGCTCCCACACCGACACGTCTTGGCCACTTCCAGATCCTTGCACAGGTGGGAAGGGAGGAGGTGACAGCCATAAGGGATTCTGTGGGATGAGAGGAGTGAGTTCACCACAGCTCCCTGTGTCACTCAAGGCAGTGACAGGACACAGGCACCAGCTGGGAGATGCCATTCCCAGGGCACTGATGCCTGGAGTTTTATCTTTCATATTTTCCACACTCTGCCCTGCATTAGGATGTCCCTCTGAACTCCACACAAAGTGTTCCCAGCTCTCCTCCCAGCTCAGGCACACAGAACAATCCTTTGCCAGCCCCACAACCAAGGACACGCTGCAGCTCCAGCCCCAAAAAGTGCAAAGAGCAGCGAGTGGAGGAGAGAATGTGGGAGGATGGGACTGCAGAGCCTGAGGCTGGGATTGGACAATGAAGCCAAGGTGGGAATGGACCCAAAGTGATCCAAGTGTGAGAACTCCTGAGCCAGGATCCATCTTGGATGTTGGCACAGCCAGGCTCTGGCACTGCCCAAGGTGAATCCTTGGAAGGGCTTTGAATAAATCCCAATTTATTCCTTTGAATAAATCCCAATTTATTCCTTTAACTCTGTCCAGCCTCTGTTCCAGGTCAGCCTCTCAGACATGGAAAACCAGAGATTTGGGATTGGGATTCAGCAATGAAATGCCACTTCCCAAGGCAGTCCCTAAGGACATGAATTCTGGGAGACACCACAGGGAGCTCACAGCAATCCTGGCAGCCTGGGCCACAGCCAATTAGGGAGTTAGAAAGATTAAGAGTAATGAGAATTAGAGAATTAAAAGAAGATTAAGAATAATGAGACAACTGGGCACATTCTGTTCTTCCCTCACATTCCCTGTGCTTCACCCTGGCCTGGCACAGCACCCACGATTTACTCCTCCCTCTCTTACACCCAGGAGTAGCAGCATTAAAACAAACTCGGAGAAAGCAGGAGATAAATTAAGCCTTTTGCAGCAGCACTGCCCTGCAGGCATGAAATTCAAAGTTCTCCTGCTCCACAGCTCTCTCCATCCATCGTGTCAGCAATGACATCCAGAGTTGGGAAAGGGAATTGCTCCTTTTGGAATTTACAGTGGAGCAGAGTCGAGTTTGGGGAACAAAACAAATAATTCCCCTGAGGAATTGTGTCGGTGAAGTGTGGGTCTCAGCACTCCAAACTCAGCACAGATCCCACTGACTCACATCCTGCCTCCACCTACACATTCCCAAGTCTCTCCACACACCATCACTCACACAGCTAAAAAACTCCACTGGGGTTTTGTTTTTTCACCACTTTAATTTCAGAACACCCTTTTTTTCTGGGAAAAGCATAATCAAGAACTCCGGTACTTTCCCAGAACGAAGACTGATTTCCAAACATTATTTCTGTATCTTCTCCTTCTGTTTTTGTCCCTTTCTCAAGGTTTTTACAGTAACTGAAATCTGACCAGTGCTGAGGGATTAAATCCTCTAGAAAAAATAAAGCCTTCATATTCACATCAAACCCACTGCAATTTAGATAAAGTTGGGAAAGGAGACATGTGGTGTTTAATTATAAAATCAGCAAGGTCAGAAGTGGGTGATTTGGCCCAGAACATGTGGTGGCTCAGCTCTCTTCAGGGTGTGCCCGTGGATGTTTCTGGTGTGAATTTCTGCACAATTACCCTGGGTTTATGGGGCACTCCCCACCCTCAAGGCAGGAATGGGCACGGGATGCAGATTAGGGACGTTTCCAGCCCCTCTCTCCCCCTTTTCTGTGCCAAATTTCTGTCTTTGTCAGGGTGGCAGCAGCAGCTGCTGGTACCTGGAGGCTCCTGGTACACGAAGGATCAGGGCTGGAGTGATGGAAGTGGTGTGGGGGAAGAGGAGGGAGCTGATGACAAACAGCAGCCTGGGAGGATGGTATTTACTCGGTGAAATCGTATTTTTTAAAATTACCTCAGAGCTGCGATTCTCTGAATAAACCAGAACACCCTCACTCCAACACCAAGGGAAATTAGGAGCTTAAGCAGGGAGAAACCTGCAGAAGTGGCTCAGAGTTGTAGAATTGATTCTCTTTTCCCAAAGTTGGCCAAAAATATTGTGGTGGATGAAAACACTTCAACCTCTGTCTTTCCTTAAATGCTCCCAAAGGCACCAATTCCCTGCCTTATTCCCGATGACTTGACAAGAGGAGTTTTAATCTTCTGAAGTTAACAGGTGAGAAAACAGGCACTGAGGGGAAGGGAAAGCAGCAGGAGAGGGAAGGTGAGGGAGGACAGCTGTGCCCTTACCTGTGGTTGACGGTGGCCCTGGCAGCACACTCCAACAGCGTCAAGGGGATTTTCAGTTGGATGTTGGGAACCAGAGGGTTGGGCTGCTCAAAAGGATTCCCAAAGAGATCCAAGTTCTCCAGAGAGAGTTTCCTGAAGTCGCAGGGCAGGAAGGGCAGCTTGTTGCGTGCCGCTGACAGGAAGCGCAGGCGGCTCAGCTGCCCGATCCTGCAGGGCAGGCGCAGCAGGGCGTTGTCATCCAGCCGCAGCTGCACCAGGCCCCGCAGCTGGCAGAACTCGAGGGGCAGCGCCTGGATCTGATTCTGGCTCAGGTCCAGCAGCTGCAGGGATTTCTGCAGGCCCGAGCTGCACAGGGCACCGCTGAAGGCCTCCAGGTGGTTGTCGTGCAGGTCGAGCTCCTGCAGACACACCAGGTCCCCCAGCGTAGCCGGCAGCTGCTTGATGTGGTTGTGGCTCAGGTCCAGCTTGCGCAGCTTCCTCAGGCACAGCACCCTGCTGTCCACCCTGGCCAGCTTGCAGTACGAGGTCTGCAGGTGCTCCAGGGAGAAAGGGAAGCTCTTGGTGAGGGGGTAATCCCTCCTGGAAGTGATGATCATTTTGGTTTTGGGTTTCTCCACGTCGGAGTTCTTGGCTGGGACCAGAGGTGAGAGAGGGAGAGCTCCGGTGTCGTTGCCTTGGTGAGCCAGTCTCACGGCTGAAAGGAAAGTCTTTAAATTGATCACATTTGCCTGCAGGGGAACACAAGGCTGGAGTTAAACGTTCATTACCCTGGTTATTAACACTTTCTGAGCTGTTTTGTGCGTGTCACTCAGCGGAGGGAACAGCCCTGTCGTGATTAATCTGTGCTGCGGCACCCAGGGAATGCACAAAGCATCGAATCCACAGCTGGAAATAAAGTACAGAAAAAACCCTGATGCACTGGAAGCTCCCTAAAATTCACCAGAACAAAGAAAAAACACACACGGGGAAATCAGAGGTCTAAAACCTGAAGCAATAATTCCTGGAAGTTTCTAGGAAAGAAAAGGATGGAAGCTGGGGTTGAATTCAGCACAAGGAAGGTGGAAGCTGAGGCAGTGCTGGTGGCCACACACAGCCCTGGCTGTGCCAGCAGCAGACCAGAGGCAAATCCTTTGCAAAGGCCAAATAATGCTTGAGGTGGGATACAACGTTTTGGCAGTAAATCCCAGGATGGTTTGGGTTGGAAGGGATCCTAAATCCCATCGTCTTCAACGCTCTGCCATGGGCAGGGACATCTCCCACTGTCCCAGGCTGCTCCAAGCCCAATGTCCATCCCGGCCTTGGACATTCCAGGGATCCAGGGGCAGCCTCAGCTTCTCTGGGAATTCCATTCCAGCCCCTCCCCACCCTGACAGGGAAGGATTCCTCCCCAAATCCCACCTACTGCTGCCCTCTGGCACTAAAGGCTCCCACTGACTCTCAGTATCAGAGTATCAAGTGATCTGTTTTAAATACAGATCCAGAAAGCTCTGATGCATGTGCTGCACTGATTTAATTCACTTCTATGAACATTTGTGACCAAATATTTATTTTCTGGATTTTCCAGCAAGTCTCTGCTCGAGCTGATGCGCGGCTGACAGGAACTGAGCTAAAAAGTGAATTCTAAAATAAAAACCACATTGCAATCACAGAAGGAAAAGAAAAGAACTGTCCTGGAGTTCTGAGAGCCCAGAGGATGCCCTTGTGTCCCCAGCTGTCACTTGCCCAAGCCCAGTGACACATTTTGTACCTCAAGGATAATTCTGCTCCTAAATTTATTTGTTTAGATCAAATTTGAAAGGGTTCAGGACTAGAGCACATAATGTGCTATAAGCACCCAGCAAAAGAAAACAAAGATATTGGAGACAATCCTGAATGGAAGTGTGAGAGAAACAAAGACATTCAAGGTCAAACTTCATCGGCTGCATCTGTAAACTAAAATTCTCATTTTCCCGAAGCATTCCAAGCACAACTCCTGCTGTGACGCCTTCCAGAGGTGGGGAAGATGCACAAGCAGCACCTTGGTATCCAAGGTCATCCAGAGAAGCTGTGGCTGCCCCTGGATCCCTGGAAATGTCCCAGGCTAGGTGGGACAGGGCTTGGAGCAGCCTGGGACAGTGGAAGGGGTGGATGGGATGGGATTTAAGGTCCCTTCTATCCCAAACCATCCTGGCATTCTGTGACCACCAACCCTCATTATCTCAGCCAGTCTAACACACACATTTAGCTACAGAATTTCCTTTAATTCCAGGCAGATTTGTGGCATTTCCAAGGGAACTGAAACGGGAATTAAGTCCAAAAGGTCCTCCAGATCTGTAAGGACCAAGTGAAATCAGTATTGTACACCAGAGTGAAGTCACAGGCAGGATTTCTTTGCTCTCAAGCACAAAGCACAATTCCTTCCACAGGACCTCCCTAAGAGCCAGATCTCCAAACCTCTTGTTGAGAAACTCTGAGGAAAATACTCCCACATCTAAGATTAAAAAAAAAAAAAAGCCAATAATTATTTGGAAAAGCTCAGGATGCAATTTCTTGCTCCCAAGTCTCAGCCCCAGAGATGATGTTGGGAAAAGTTTAAAGTTGGTACCTCCCAAGTCTCAGAGCTGCTGAAGGGAAATAAAACCCCAGGAAACATTCAGAATTTATTATTTCTGCTCCAGGGGTGAATGCTCTGCACTGATTATTTCCCATCTCCATTCCTGACCTGGCTGAATGCAGCAAATCCAGTGCCTGGCAGAGCACAAGCAGGGGGATTTCACATAACCAATATTCCCATTTCCAGTATTTGGAAATCCCTTTCCCACAAAGTTGGGTTTTTTGGTTTTTTTTTTTTTCATCTTTGAGAGTTAAAAAAAGGTTTTCTGTAATGAAGTAATAAAAATCTGGCAGCAAACTAAGGCAAAGTGATGAAGCATCTTAAATTTGGGTTCTGGATTTGGAGAGCTTAAGAGGAACCTGTAATATTTTGAGATAAACTTTTTGATTTCTCATTCTCCAGCAGAAAAATGCAGAGTAACAGGAACAGAAGTTATTCTGAATCTAATACAAAAGCCTTAATTCTTCCAAAATGCAGAGCACATTGGCTTCTAACAGGAAAAAAGTAACTGGGTTTTGTGTCCTCCCTTCCTATTTAACTCTTTAACAGATTCATAAAATTAAAGCTGCTTTCCTCAGATTCAGATAACTGAAAGGAAAAAGGGTTTTCTAAACCAGCAATCAACATTATTTGCTTTCATTTACACATCCGGACTCTAAAGTTTTAGGTAAGAACTCAGAGCTTTTAGAAAACCTGTCCCACTTTTCTCTCCTATGGGGCCACAAAAGATTCCTGCAACAGGCACAGAAGAAATGACATGAGAATTTAGTGATAATACGTGATTTTTGGTGAGTTTATTGCTGTTAAAATCACGTTACAAATTCTCTGGGAACTGTGAATAAATACAGTGGTGTTTGAAATAAGGTGACATGGTGACTGTGCCCTGCTCTGAAAGCCATGCTGAAGTTTTTATCCAAGAAAACAAGAAGATTCTCCATTTTTTTTCCATGAGAAGGACTGTAAGGAACAATTATTTAATGGAATTTAAGGCCAAAGGCCAACATTGCATCAGGGAGTTGAAAAAAGTTTCTTCTAAAGAAGCTGTGAAGCAAAGCATGAAAATGAACTTCTGAGGCGGAAGAGGAAGAAGAACACAGCCCAGAAAAGAAGGAATGGCTTCCCAAGGCCAGAGCGCAGGGCTGGATGGGATATTGGGAATTGGGAATCCCTGGCTGGGCTGGAATTCCCAGATTTGCTGTGGCTGCCCCTGGATCCCTGGAATGTCCCAGGCCAGGTTGGACATTGGGACAGTGGGAGGTGTCCCTGCCATGGCAGGGGTGGAACGGGATGGGAATTAATGTCCCTAACAACCCAAACATTCTGGAATCCGAACTTCCCTTCCCCCCTTGTCCCTGCGGGTCAGAGCCCGTTCCCGGTGCCGTTCCCACCTTGCTGAGGCACAGATCCACCGCGGGCTCCCGCAGCCTCACCGTGGCCTTTCCCTCCTCCACGAAACGCGTGAAGAGCCGCTCCACGTTCTGCTGCACCTGCGGGCACAGCGGGCTCAGCGGCCGCCCGGGGCACCCCCGCCAGGTCCCGCCCGCCGCCGCCGCCTCCGTCCCCACCTTGTAGCGAGCCCCGCCGCGGTCCCGCGCCGTGCACACCATCAGGTAAATGCCGGCCCCGGCAGCGCCGGGCGGCCGCCCGAGCGACACCAGCGCCCGCGCCGAGCGGCCGCGGCCCCGCAGCCCGCAGGTGGGCAGGAGCCGGCTGAGCACCTCCACCTCGCACTGCAGCCGCATCCCGATCCCGATCCCGATCCCGATCCCGATCCCGATCCCGGCACCGATCCCGGCACCGGCCCCGGCACCGGCCCCGGCACCGGCCCCGGCCCGCGCACGGCGGGCGGCGCCGCCGGGGGCCTCCCGCGCTGTGCGCGCACAGGCGCCCGCTGAGCTGCCTGCCCGCGGAGCTGCCCGCCCGCGGAGCTGCCTGCCGGCGGTGCTGCCCGCCCGCGGAGCTGCCCGCCCGAGGTGCTGCCTGCCGGGGGAGCTGCCTGCCCGCGGAGCTGCCCAGCCCCGCCCGCCGCCCGGCCAGCGGGATGGCGGGGCGGGAAGGGAGGGCGGCGGCCCCGGTGGGAGCGGCGGCTGCGGCCGCACCGGCAGCAGCGGGCAGCCCGAGAGCGGGGCCTCAGAGCAGAGCCCGCCGCGAGGGCCGGGCCGCGGGCACCTCCTGCTGGATGCCGCTGGTGCGGCTTGGCGGGAAAGGGAGAGAGGGGGGGTGGGAGTGACGGGGAGTGAGGGGACACGGGGAGTGAGGGGACATGGAGTGTGAGGACACGGAGTGAAGGGACATGGGGAGTGGGGGGTCATGGAGTCTGAGGGGACACAGGGTATGAGGGGACACGGGGAGTGAGGGGACACGGGGAGTGAGGGTTCGTGGAGTGTGAGGGGACATGGAATGTGAGGGGACATGGAGGAGCTGAGGACTTGGGTATGAGCGGACATGGCGGTATGACAGGACATGGAGTGTGGGAGGACACGGGGTGGGGGGACAAGGGGTGTGAGGGGACACGGAGAGTGAGGGGATATGGAGGGTGTGAAGGGACACGGAGAGTGAGGGGACATTGGGGAGTTGTGGAAGGACACAGAGGAGCTGAAGGTGTTGCCGAATGTTAGGGACTCTAAACACGGACAACTAATCAAGTTCAGAAAAGAGACATTGTTTATTCTGCAGAGGGCGCAAGGTGGAAATTGTCCACAAATCAAGCACGCCAGGGAATAAAAAGCAAAATAATTTATACACTAAAGTTTACTTAAATCCACCCATCTACCTGCCTACCTAATGTACAGTCACAGCCAAGCACAACATGAAATATAAAGTTTTCCATAAACATCAAGTAAAGCATAACACACCTGGTGACATCTGTTGGCATTGAAAAGAGGGGTTAGAGGGGAAAATGCAACAGGGAGCGAAAAAAAGGGACAGAGAATTCTGTGTAAGGACATCGAGGGGACAGCAGGTGTAAGGGATGGAACGTGGAGGAGTTGAAGGGATGGCGGGTGTGAGGGGACACGGAGAGCTGAGGGGACATGGGGAGCCGAGGGGACATGGGGAGCTGAGGGGACACGGAGGAGCTGAGGGGACACGGGAGCTGAGGGGACATGGGGAGCCGAGGGGACATGGGGAGCTGAGGGGACATGGAGGAGCTGAGGGGACACGGAGAGCTGAGGGGACATGGGGAGCTGAGGGGACATGGAGGAGCTGAGGGGACACGGAGAGCTGAGGGGACATGGGAGCTGAGGGGACACAGAGGAGCCGAGGGGACACGGAGAGCTGAGGGGACACGGGAGCTGAGGGGACATGGGGAGCTGAGGGGACACGGAGAGCTGAGGGGACACGGGAGCTGAGGGGACATGGGGAGCTGAGGGGACACAGAGGAGCCGAGGGGACACGGAGAGCTGAGGGGACACGGGAGCTGAGGGGACACGGAGAGCTGAGGGGACACGGAGGAGCTGAGGGCAGGGAGTGTCATTAACACTCAGGCTTCATCAGTCACAGGAAGGCGCAGTGAGGGCTTGGTGTCGGGGCAGCCCCGCCCGCCCTGAGCTGGGTTTCACATTAGCCGCCATTAGGCGAAAAAAAAAAAATAAATCGGGGACCCCTTTAAGCACTGTTTGTGCAGCTGTCTTATTTCATTAAGGGCAGGCTGTTGTTGGAGATTTGTTTGCGGGTGTGAGTTGAGTGTTAAGCGTTGGTGCGGGGTGCGGGTGCGGTGTTTGTGCAGTAGGAGGCGGTGTTGTCGTGCGTGTTTTGGGGAGCCAAGGGGAGTTTTTTGGGGGCGCAAAGGGGAGTTTTGTGGCGTGTGGGGGCAAAAGGGGAGCCCGCGTGTCTCTGTGTTGCCCAGGCTACGCTGGCGTGGCTATTCACAGGCGCGATCCCGCTACTGACCGCCACGGGAGCTTTGACCTGCTCCGTCTCCGACCTGGGCCGGTTCACCCCTCCTTAGTCAACCTGGTGTCCCGCAGCTCCCCGCGGGTCACCATATTGATGGCGGCCTTAGCTTGGACGCCCGCTCGGCACAGCGCACGGCAGCCCAGAACTCCTGGGCTCAAGCGATCCGTCGGGCTCAGCCTCCCCGGCAGCTGGGACTACAGGCGCGCGCCACCGCGCCCGGCGCTGCCTGCCCGCTCCGATTGCGATACGAGCTTTCACAGCGGTGACGTCACGGGGCGGGCGGAGAGGCCCCGCTCCACGGAGTGACGTCACGGCGGGGAGGGGTGCAACCCGCAGCTCTTGCCGTAGTGGCGTCACAGGGCGGGAAGCGCGCGTCGCGCGGTGCACGCCGGGAGGCGCCGGGAGGGGTATAAGGGCAGGCGGCCGCCGCCATCTTTCTCTCGGCACCGTGCAGCCATGGGCCACCAGCAGCTCTACTGGAGCCACCCCAGGAAGTTCGGGCAGGGCTCCCGCTCTTGGTCAGTGCTGCTCCTTGCGCTCCCCGGGTCGTGGCTGCCGCCTCACCTCCCTTTTCCTCTCACATTCCCGCCCTCCTCCCCAGCGCCATTCCCCACCCTCACCCGCCTCTCTCTGTTCCCCTCACAGCCGCGTGTGCTCCAACCGCCACGGCCTCATCCGCAAATACGGGCTCAACATGTGCCGGCAGTGCTTCCGCCAGTACGCCAAGGACATCGGCTTCATCAAGGTGAGCCCCGCGGCCGCGGGAAGGGGCTCGGGGGTGCCGGTTCCCGCTCACTCCCCTCGTTTCTCGCTCTCTTGCAGCTGGACTGAGCGCCGGGAGGATGAGGCGACAGCCAGGAGCTCCCGCGGCCTCCCTGACACATCTACAGCGTCTCGGCTCAGCCTTACTTAATAAATGATCTCCTAACCCAGCTGATCTGTGCCTGTTTCCTTTCCGTACGGGTTTTAGCGGCTCTGCGCGTTCTTCTCTGGACAAAGTGAACTTTCATTATTCCGGGCTGCTCCAAGCCCTGACCAACCTGGCCTTGGACACAGCCAGGGATAGCCACAGCTTCTCTGAAGGGACTGAGTCAATGACACACTCGAGAGTGCCACAGGTCTGGAATTATGTTTCCCAAATCCTTTAGAAGGGATTACAAGTGTCTGGGTGCTCTTGTGCTATTCAGTGCTCCGAGGGGACTGACCAGGAAAGTGCTCTGCTCACACGTGGGGTGTGAGCAAATGCTGATCCCTCCCGGCTGGTCTGCAGATCCTTTGGGATGCCCAGGAGCCTTTGTTTTGTCCTGCTGGTTCTGAAATCAATGAGATGAGTTGGTGATGAGGGAATGGGAGCAAACCCAGCTGTGCCCATAGCAGAAGCTGTCACAGAGTTTTGTAATGGTTTGGGTTGGAAAGGTTCTTAAAGCCCATCCAGTTCCAGTCCCCTGCCCTGGGCAGGGGCACCTTGCATTAGATGAGGAGAGAGCAGCTCCTTCCACCTTCTAAATCCATCCCTGGCTGGTACAGGGATGAGGATTTGGATCTGGGAGCCCTGGGGAAGGGTTGGGTTCCTCACCAGGAGGTGGTTGTGCCTCTCATTTTGAGTGAAAAATGCTTAAATCCTGGCTCTTACCAAAAAACTCTTCAGTGTGAAGGTTCTACACTAAAAAATAAAAATACTCAGTTGCTCTGGTGGTGATTTTGGGTCTTCCCCCACAGATTTTGATGATGTAGGCAGGGAAAGGGAATCCTGTGGGATGTGTTTGGCTTCAGTTTGGCTCTGAAAAAACAAAACCCTCATTGCCTTTTTAACCAAAACACTGAATTTTTAGGGGGGATTTTAATAGGTCTCAAATTTCAGAGAAGCAAAAAATCAGGGTGCAAAATGTGATGGGAGGGTTTCTGCAGTTCCCACTGCTGTGTCCAACTTTCCTCCTGCTGCCTCTCAGAGGTGCTTGAGGCACTTCCCAGTGGAAAATCCGTGTTTTTCCCAACAAAAGGCAGCAGGATTGGAAATTTTTGTATTCTCAGAGCTGCAAGAGCTGTTCAAGCCAGGCAGGGATTTGTGGATATTTGTCCCTCTCCTTAGTGGAGCTCATTCCTTATGGTAAAAGAGATTTGGGGGAATTTTCCCTGAGGATCTCCCAAATCTCTGCCTGAACATTTTTTTCCTCATAATGGAAAATAAGAATAAAACAAATAGCTGGGGTTGGTAATTGCAAAGCACATCCCTATCGAAACCAAAGCTAAAATGTGTTTTAAAATTACTTTGTAAGCATTCGAATACCTCTGTTGGCACCTAATTTTGGAAAACTACAAAATCACAATTGTCTTTTCCCTGTTCTTTGAAGCCTGGGGAGAAAGTGGTGTAGGACAAGCTGTAATTCCTTTTTACCTCGTTGCTGCCTTAACCAGGTATTTATTGCCCAATATACAACGAAGATGAGGTGCCAAAACCTTGAATTTCCTGAGCTCAGTGTGAAAATTGCATTTTGTTTCTGGTGGCTCCGGTCTCTGGAGGTTCATGGATGTGAAGCTGGAACTTATTTGGATGCAAAGTGATTTTTATAAGGAGTTGCTGATTCCCCCAAAGAACAGGTGAAATCAAAATCCACTTCAAGGACTTTGCATTAATAATAAACAACTAATAAATGTTCTCCTTTAGGGAAATAAAATGTCCTGCTCGGAGCCAAGGAGAAGTTAGTGATGCCTTGGCTTTGGGAGAGAGGAGCTTCCAACTGCTGGAATTGAATTTATAGGGGATTTGCACTGCTGAAACCCCACTAAATTGCATTAGATTTGCACCAGATAAAATCTGTGCTTGTCACAGGCTCCAGCAGGAATTTCAAAAGCTTTGGGAAAATTTCGGGTTCTCAGCTCATCCCAGGGCTGGAAAAGGAAGCTGAGAGTGCTCTGTGAGAAAACAATCCCATTCCTGCTGGGAATCCTGTGCCTCTGCTCTTCCTCCTGTGGTTATGGGACCAGGCTGGGGCTGAAATTTGGGCTCTTTTCCCTCTCCCAGGTGGATCCCAGTTGCCTGGAACAGGAGTTCCCTTCCCCAGATGTGAGATGGGATAAACTCTCAGCTCGATACTCCCACTCTGACATTCCCAAATTCCTGCAGGGATCAAGCTCCACCTGGGGTGGGTGGTGCTTGGAGTGACACTGATTTTAGGACTGTCCTAAAATCCAGAGCCAAGCTGAGGGAAAGGGACAAACCCCAACATGGAAAGGAAGGAAGGGGAAGCCTGAGAGGATACAGGGACTTTATCCAAGCACACAGGAATTGGGAAGGATAAAGCCCTGAGAGAATTAAATGTGCCCAGGGCCATCGAGGGTGACAAAAATGCTTCTAAAGTATCTTGGTGATCAAAGGAAGAGCATGGAAAATGTGGGAAGGGAAAATTTCCTGAAGGAAACAGGAGAGTAAGGGCTGGAGCCAGGATGGGAGAGCTGGGAATGTTCCCCTGGAGAGGAGAAGGATCCAGGGAGAGCTGAGGGCACCTAAAGGGGCTCCAGGAGAGCTGGAGAGGGGCTGGGGACAAGGGATGGAGGGACAGGACACAGGGAATGGCTTCCCAGCGCCGGGGGAGTGCAGCATTCCCAAATCCAGAGCAGCATTCCTGCTCCAGGAGCAGCAGCTAGATGGCACCGTCAGCCTGCAATTCCTCCTTTCTGTGTCCATGAGTCCCAGCTTCCCTCCATAAACTGGAGAGTGCAGGAAATTATCCTGCGGATTCCCTGTCCTTGCTTTCGTTTGAAAAATCCCAATATTTTGTATCCTTGCTGCTGGACAGCAGGACTGGGGCAGAGCCGAGCTCTTCTTGCTCCTACTGAAGTCTGTGTGACACTGGAAGCAAAATTCCCTTCCCTTCCCTTCCCTTCCCTTCCCTCATTTTGGGCCAAAAGTTTAAAATCCCACCCAAACCAGGGTTTATCCCTGCTCAGGTTATCCCTGATTTTCTCCTGCTTTTCCACCAGCCCATGCTGAGCTCTCCTCATCCTCGCTGGGATCACCAATATTCCTGACCTGAGGGCTTTTATCCATAAATTCATTTTAGAAGAATCAAACTCAGTCAGGGACATTTGGGTGTCACTTTGTGGGAAGCATTGCTCCTGCATGCAGCACCAGGGATTTGGGTAAATCCCATAGATTTGGGGTAAATCCCAGGGATTTGGGGTAAATCCCATGGATTTCTCTGTGCTGATTTCCAGCACCAAGCTGGAACTGCAGTGATGCTCACATATCCCAAACTCCTGCTTTATAATTTGATTTATTCCTTTAGCACAGTCCTTTGCTAAACTTTCCTCATCCCAGTGCTGGGATGAGCCCCCGAGCACAGGGAGCAGGAGAATTTTTCAGGAAAAATTTCTCCATGGAAAAGGTGTTCAGGCCTTGGAAGGGGCTGCCCAGGGAGGTTTGGAGTTCCCATCCCTGGAGGTATCCAAGGAATTCCTGGATGTGGCTCTCAGATCTCTGAGCTGGGGACAAGGTGGGCATCAGGCACAGCTTGGACTTGATCCCAAAGATTTTTTTTCCAACTCGATGATTCCATGATTCTGCTCCAAGTTTTTAACGATGTGGTGGAATAAACACCCAGGAAAAAGCAGGCAGATGGGATCAGGCTGTGTGGTGAGCAGAAGTGCTTCTAAATAAAACATTCCCAAGGGCTGGCATGAGGCACCAGTGGCTCTAATTCACGCCTCTTGTTGGGAGTGTGTTCCTTGCAGACAATGTTTATTTATGGCATGGAAAAATCTATTTCCATCCAATCATTTCCATAACTGAATATTTATGCCAACAGCCACTGAATGCTCCTCGACTAAACTGAAAAGTATTTATTTAGTTATAAATGTTTACTTGTTTAGTGGTAAAACTGCTTTCAACAAACTTAAAAATCAAATTGGTGTCTTCCCCGTTCACAGGATTTCCGTGGTTTTCCAGGCATCAGCAATGGATGATGTTGGAATTATTATTCCAGCTCGAAGAGCCTCTGTGTATTTATACCTTTAATCTCAGAGAGAGTTGGTTTAGATGGGATATTGGGAAGGAATTCCTGGCTGGGATGGTGGTGAGGAGCTGGGCTGGAATTCCCAGATTTGCTGTGGCTGTCCCTGGATCCCTGGCAGTGCCCAAGGCCAGGCTGGACATTGGGACAGTGGGAGGTGTCCCTGCCATGGCAAGGGGTGGAATAGGGTGGGATTTGGATCCTTTCTAACCCAAACCATTCTGGGATGAACAGGCAGTGGTGGAGTCCCCATCCCTGGAGGGATTTCAAATCCCTGTGGATATGGCACTTGGGGACACGGAGCAGGGCTGGCCTTGGAAGTGCTGGGGATGGTTGGAGTCGATCATAGATGGGGACTCCACCCCTGTCCGGGGCAGCTGTGCCCGGCTGGACAACCTTTCCATGAATAAATGTTCCCAAAATCCACCCTGAGCCTGCCCTGGCCCAGCCTGAGGCCGTTCCCTCTCCTCCTGTCCCTGTTCCCTGGAGCAGATCCCAAATCCCCCCGGCTGTCCCCTCCTGTCAGGGAGTTGTGCAGAGCCACAAGGGCCCCCCTGAGCCTCCTTTTCTCCAGGCTGAGCCCCTTCCCAGCTCCCTCAGGAATTCTCCATTCCCTTCCCAGCCCCCTCAGGAATTCTCCATTCCCTTTCCCAGCCCCCTCAGGAATTCTCCATTCCCTTTCCCAGCTCCCTCAGGAATTCTCCAGCCCCTTCCCAGCTCCCCCAGGCCCTCCTCACATTTTCCACATGTAAATTCAGATTCCATAAGAAAAGACGTGGAGATTTGTATAAAAACCTGGAATTTTTGCACCATTCCGAGTCCAGTCTATGGGAGGTGGGTTTGGCATTGCTGTTCTGTGTGAGCCCTTCCAGAGACCCCTCCTGTCCTGAAAACCAGGGTGGGGATCCCTGGGGAGCTTTGATTC